GATTACAGGCTTGAGCCACCGCGCCCAGCCTTCAAGTCTTATTTTCAAAAAGCCTTTACCCAGAAAGGGGCAAACTTCTCGTCATCTGATTCAGAGAAACGGACATGTTGGGTAATAATCCCAGAGTAATTAGTCCTCAGCAAAGTTGAAATCTGATTTATGCCTCCTTTAAACTTTATTTCTCTCATGTGCAGGCTGGCACAACGGCCACTTATGAAGGTCGCTGGGGAAGAGGAACAGCACAGTACAGCTCCCAGAAGTTGGTGGAAGAAAGGTCCTTGAGGCATCCTCTGAGGAGGCTGGAGATTTCTCCTGACAGCAGCCCAGAGAGGGCTCACTACACGCACAGCGATTACCAGTACAGCCAGAGAAGCCAGGCTGGGCATACCCTGCGCCACCAAGAAAGCAGGCGGGCCGCCCTCCTAGTGCCACCGAGATATGCTCGTTCCGAGATTGTGGGGGTCAGCCGTGCTGGCACCACAAGCAGGCAGCGCCACTTTGACACGTACCACAGACAGTACCAGCATGGTTCTGTTAGCGACACCGTTTTTGACAGCATCCCTGCCAACCCGGCCCTGCTCACGTACCCCAGGCCAGGGACCAGCCGCAGCATGGGCAACCTCTTGGAGAAAGAGAACTACCTGACGGCAGGGCTCACCGTTGGGCAGGTCAGGCCGCTGGTGCCCCTGCAGCCCCTCACTCAGAACAGGGCTTCCAGGTCCTCCTGGCACCAGAGCTCCTTCCACAGCACCCGCACGCTGAGGGAAGCTGGGCCCAGTGTCGCCGTGGATTCCAGCGGGAGGAGAGCGCACTTGACCGTTGGCCAGGTGGCGGCAGGGGGAGGTGGGAATCTGCTCACTGAGAGAAGCACTTTCGCTGACTCCCAGCTGGGGTAAGTCCCCTCCTGACTCTGCAGCTCAGTCATTGCCAGCACATTCTGTTCCCACAGCCCTGACAGCATGAGCTGGCACTTCTGGGGCTTGAGAGAAAGGCTTCCAGAGATAAGTGATTAAAATAATGACTTTTCAGGCAGCTGCCTAATTGACAGATCAGCCTATTTACCTTGGGGACAGGGGCCAGGCTACCTGCTCACATGGCAGCTTTGTGCGGAAATGTGACATTTAGTCCATCTGTTCCAGATTAGATGCTGGCTGAAGGGACCCTACCCCTCAGTCATATGAAAATCTGCTCTAAACTCCAAAGTAGGCCAAGAAATGGAGAACTGCACGTGTATTTTCTTCATCATCCCATGAAATAAAAGGAAAAAATGCTTATTCCTAGTGCTAAGTGTGAACCTCAAATGCCATTTTGATAACTATCACTGTAAAAAGAGCTAAGGAAAGATGGCTAGATGGCTGACTTCTAGATGTCTCTTTTCTTCCTTTGATACTTGGTACCTTTTACATTTCTAGTGTCAGTGATTTGAAGGGGTATTCTTTTGCCCATACTAAATTATTAAAATAACTGAATTTTTGAATCATTCCTTTCCCTTCCTATTTACTTTATAGCTTGACTAATTTAGTGTTTGGAACTTAACCCTTATTCAAGTTTAATGCCTGAGCACAAATTTTATAAACTGAGCACGTTACTAAGAGAAAGATTGAGAAATGGATGGCTGATTAGATCAGTAACTCCTGCAATAACCATCTAACATGATTAGGATAAAACATTAGGTATGTTATTGTCATTTGATTGCTAAAGTTGTCTAATGATAGTTGTTACCTCTAAACATCCCTTCAAGTGAAATTGTACAGCATGCTCACTGACCAGGTAGGCATCATTGATAAACTACTTCTCAAAATGATGAAGGCTAATCTAATCTTAACACAGGAAATATTTTTATGATGTAAAATTCACCATGAGATTTGTAACTTTTTTTTTTTTTTTTTTTTTGAGACAGAGTCTCACTTAGTCGCCCAGGCTGGAGTGCAGTGGCGCGATCTCGGCTCACTGCAAGCTCCGCCTCCCGGGTTCACGCCATTCTCCTGCCTCAGCCTCCCGAGTAGCAGGACTACAGGTGCTCACCACCACGCCCGGCTAATTTTTTGTATTTTTAGTAGAGACGGGGTTTCACCGTGTTAGCTAGGATGGTCCCGAAATACTGACCTCGTGATCCGCCAACCTCGGCCTCCCAGAGTTCTGGGATTACAGGCGTGAGCCACTGCGCCCGGCAAGATTTCTAACATTTCTTATAGTAAGCAGACCTTTGGCAATATGAGCATACTTACCAAGAGGAAAAATGAGCCACGAGCAGTGGCCCAGGCCTGTAATCCCAGCACTTGGGGATGCCCAGACGAGCGAATCACTTGAGCTCAGGAATTCAAGACCAGCCTGGCCAACATGGTGAAACCCCATCTCTACAAACAATACAAATATTAGCTGGGTGTGGTGGTGTGCGCCTGTGGTTCCAACTACTCGAGAGGCTGAGGCGGGAGGATTGCTTGAGCCCAGGAGATGGAGGTTGCAGTGAGCCAAGATTGTGCCACTGCACTCCAGCCTGGAAATCACAGTGAGACCTCGTCTCAAAAAAAAAAAAAAAGAGAGAGAGAGAGAGAAAGTGTATCAGGTCATTGTTTATGGAGGAAAAAGCTGATAAAGGCTTTTAAACAGGTAATTCAAAATTTATGGAATGCCTACCATAGTCTAGGATTTGTGATAGCCACAATTTTAGCAAAATGATTTTAACAGTAAAAAAAATTATTATCTGACATCCTCCAACAACTGGTATTCTCTTCCTCCATCTCTGTGACCCTTGCTTCTTGAACCACCCTGTCACTTCCCAGGCTCTCCTCAACCCACTGCAATATGATTTCAGTCCCCTCCATTCCACCTAAACGGTCTCCTGACAAATGTAGCAATAACTGCCTTCTCTGCTACATTCTAAGCGGACGCTATATTGAGTAGTATAAGCAGTCCTTATATTACTCAACCTGCGGGTGGTGTTTGAGACACCATGAAATTCTCTCATCCCTTGGTTTTCAGGGCACTAACTTCTCCTGGGTTTCCACTCAGCTCTCCAGCCATTCTTTGTTAGTCTTCTCTGCATGCTCCCTTTCTGCCTGCCCAAAGGAGGCATCTTCAGTAACCCTTCTATTCCAAGTCTTGATGCTCTTCCAGAGAGGCCCTGTGTACCCCACTTTTATCCTTATAGTTCTCAGAGTTTTGTCTGCAATTCCATCCTCGATGCCGAATTCTGGACCTATATGAAAATGTAACAACCTCCTACATATTTCAAACTCAGCATGTCCTAAACGAAACTCATCTCCCTGTCCTCAACTTCCACTGGTCTTCTCCTGCTGTAGCCTACTATTTTCAAACCTGGAAGTCATTCCTATCTTCTCCCTCTCTGGTCACCTATCACCAAGCCATATTTTTCCTTCTATAATGGGTCTTGAATTTTATCCTTCTTTCCATTTCCATTACACAGGCCTCTCTGCCTTTGGTCTTGCTCAGTCAGAACTGTTCTCTAGGACTGTCAGAATTATCTTTCCACGTCTGATTGTTTCTCTCCCCAGTTTATAACCCTTCCATAATTCCGCTAAGTGTTCATGCTTTTAGGCATGACTTACGGGGCCTGTTGTGTTTTCAGCTCTGCTCATCACTTCAGCCTCTTCTCCTTCTACTCTTCTCTGCCATTTGCCACCACCATCCCCAAACATAGCCACATACCAATACCCAAACCACCTGGAACCTCTTTACTTTCCTTAATGGAAGATATTCATCCATATTCATTCTCTCTCTCTTTCCTTCTTTCCCCCCACTCCAGACCTTTACATATGCAGCTCTATTTTTGTCTGACTACTTATAATTCTGGATTTAGCTCAGATACCGCCTTTTTTCTGACCCCTTCCTTCCCAGTCTAGCTTAGGTGCCCCAGATGGGAGCCTTGTGAGCCTTGTGTGAGTGTCTCTATCAGAATATTATATTGTGGCTACTCATTTGCTTATCTGTTCTCCCTCTGGACTTTGAGCTTTTTGTGAGTGCTCAATCATCTTTATATTCTCAGCACCCTAAAATGGAAGTAGGTCTATAGTAGGCACTGTATAAACATATGATGAGGCCAGGCACAGTGGCTCACACCTATAATCCTAGCACTTTGGGAGGCCCAGGCTGGAGGATTGCTTGAGCCCAGGAGTTTGAGGCCAGCTTGGACAAACATAGGGAGACGCCATTTCTATTACAAATAAACAACTTAGCCTGGCATGATAGTTCCCAACTGTGGTCCCAGCTACTCCGGAGGCCGAAGTGGGAGGATTGTTTGAACCAGGGAGGTTGAGGCTACAGTGAGCTGTGATTGTGCCACTGTACTCCAGCCTGGGCAGCAGAATGAGATCTTATTTCAATAAATAAATAAGTGTATAGTGAAAGAATGAAGGAATTAAAGAAAGGAGAAATGAAGTATAAGCTTTACTTTTTGCCATCTAGGTTCTTTTGTTGCTCAAATTCTAGAAGTATTAGTCATACTATTTTTGGATTATTGTTTTAATAGACAGGGCAAATTGTATTAGAATATTTCAAAGAATAGAAGGAACACTTGGGGTCAAGAAATTTAAAAATAATGAGTAAGAAATCTCTTCCTGAGATTTCCCCAAATTCTAGAGAGTAGAAATCATAGAAATCAACTTTTTTCTCTGATTTTGAAAGGAAAATTTAGCTGTCTGTGAAAAGGAGAGGGAACCAGAAATATTTTGTGTAATGAGGAAGATAGATGCCCACGGTGGTGCCTGTGCCTACCTGACCTCCCCCTTTCCTCTGCTGGGCTCCACACCTCGTTTCAGTTCCCCAGGCTGCTCCTGGGACACCTGCCCTGAGACCACACACTGTGTTCTCCTTGGTCCTGCACTGTCAAACTCTGTCCAGCCCCTATTTTGGAGATTTAAGTTTTTATGCCTAGTGAAACTCCCACATGTAAAGGAGTATTCTTTCAGATACGTTGAATATTAACTGGATAAAACCATAAACCTGCATAATGACCTAAGTTATTAAACAATGGACCTGGCTTTCCAAAAGAAGAATGGCTGGTTAAACGGTTACTAATGCAGCTAAAAACTGAGACTTGGAGTATAAGAGAGACAAACTGATGAAACCCATGTTCTAAATCAAACTGATGGAAAAGGTTTTAAGAATTACCACAAAAAAATTCCAGATGAATTTTTCTAAAACCATGATTTATGACCTGTTGGAGACTGATGGTTCTGCAAATGAGTGTTAGGGTCTTCATAGGTCCTTCCCAGTAAGCATCACAAAAGATGAAAATGGGCCAGCCACGGTGGCTAACACCTGTAATCCCAGCACTTTACGAGGCCAAGGTGGGCGGATCACTTGAGGTCAGGAGTTCGAGACCAGCCTGGCCAACATGGTGAAATCCCGTCTCTACTAAAAATACAAAAATTAGCCAGGCATGGTGGTAGATGCCTGTTATCCCAGCTACTTTGGATGCTGAGGCAGGAGAATTGCTTGAACCCAGGAGGCAAAGGTTATAATGAGCTGGTATCGTGTCATTGCATTCCAGTGTGGGTGAAAGAACAAGACTTAGTCTCAAAAAAATAATTAAATAAATAAAATTAAATATGAAAATTGAGTGGGATGTATGATGGTCTAGGAGAAGAGCAGTGAAAAATAGGATATGTCGTCAAGTGCTAGGTTGTGTGATACATATTAGTGTCTACAGAAATTTAAAGAACACAAGAGCAGGGCTGGGCATGGTGGCTCACAACTGTAATCCCAGCACTTTGGGAGGCTGAGGCTGGCAGATTGCTTGAGCCTAGGAATTTGAGACCAGCTTGGGCAACATGGCAAAACCCCATTTCTACAAAGTACAAGAATTAACTGGGCATGGTGGTGCATGCCTGTAGTCCCAGCTACTCAGGAGGCTGAAGCAACAGAATCACT